GAGACGGTCCCGCTTCTGAAGGGTTGTGAACATGGAGAACAGGAGGTGTGTACCCCGTACCTCATGTAGGTGTGCTTCCTAAATGGATTGCTCAGCTAAGGGGGGGTCACAGATAGAAATGGGCTTGAGCCTGCGGTTCAGGGATGCAATATTCACAAGAGGAGGAGAGGAGTTTGTCTGGGTCGATAGGGTAATCTTAAAAAAAATCATTTTTTGAATGATTGCGCTGGATGGTTTCCAGCAGGTTAATTATCCCTAATCTTTGTCCACTGGAGCATGGCATCTTCAAGCTGGCACAGTGGGGTTGAAAAGAGGGGCTGCACGGAGGAGAAGCTGCCCTAGCTGGGGTCATTCACCTGATCAAAAAAAAATGGGGAAGGGAATTTCAGAAATGCCTGAACTTTGTTCCTGATGTGTTAATGAGCCATCAGGAGAGGGTAATAGTGGTTAATAAGAGCTGAAGAAGGTGCATCCCTCAGTTTGGCTGGGGCATGTACAGGTGGCAGCCTTAGCTCTTGTTTACCCACCCACCTGGGGCTGTGTCCTGCCTCCTTTGAGACAGATTTGGGGCGATTTGGGGTGGTTCCTCTCCCACCTACTTCCCCCTCTGCTCTGATTCTACTAAATCTCCCATCCTGCTCCCATCCCAGCGGCACTTTTCCTCTCTCTGCTGCATGAAGGAGAGGTGAAGAGGGTCTCGGGTGCCAACAATTCTCTTATTACCTTTGTGTGCTTTATTTATTTACCATAAACTGTTATAGGATGGCCATCAGCACCGCATTGGGGTGACGTTTGAAATATATGGCTCTCGGGTTTAGTGCGTCACTCGGAGCCGGGAGTCTGCACGATGTTAATTTTTATTGCCAGAAGTAGCCATAAATTGATAGTTGAGAATTGCTGTAGGGACTGTAATTAACTAGTTACTATTTCACCTCCAAAAGGAGCAATGTTTCACGCTCTTACTTTTACTTATCTGGAATCAGCTGCTGTCAACATCCGCTGAAGCCCGTATAAAGATTTATAGACCTTGGAGGTAAATATTGACTAATGGGCAGCTTGGCTTAATGTTCACCTTGAAGGACAATAAATTGTGCTATTGATTGAAGCGAGATGTCAATATCTGCATTGTTGTAAACATTTTAATAAAATTATCTCCATAAAATATTCTCTTTCTTTGGCTCATCCTGGCCACTGGGATCAGTGCCTGGAAAATGCAGCAGCACGGTGTAGAGGGCAGGGCAGTGCTTTGGGATCACTGGTGGGACTTTGAGCACCCAGACACCAAACCTATTGTGGGACCACTGTTGAGGTTGTGCCTTTGGGCTTTAGAGGTGAAAAATCTTGCAGCCCTGGCTGGTTCAGCTTGATCTGAGGTGCAGAGAGTTGGTATGGACACAGGGAAGAGCTCCAAGGAAGGTTTTTCAGTGGCATCACAGGCAGTCTTCAGCCAGGGAAAGCTGTGAGCAGTGTCCTAGAGACCTGAACATGGCTGCAACAGTGAGCCAGGGGACAGTGGCATGTAATTAATTTGGGAACATGTGTTCACTTTCTGGTGAGTTATTATCTTGTCAGAGGCTCAATGGAAGCAAATGGGGAGGAGGAGTCAGAAGGGAGATGAGTCAGGATGGGAAAGGGAGGAGAAGTGAGGGAAGGAGAAAGGCATGGAGGGAGGAATATGGATGCAGGAGGCATCTGCCCACACCTCATTGCATCCATGCTGTGTGGGACCCCAAGCACAGCTTGGCCATCTGTTGGTTTGCCTTGGTGCTCTGTGCCACATCAGGACCTCGCCTCTGTGGCTCCTCCACATTCATGATGGTCAAACTCCCCCTTCCCTGAGGCTTTTAACAGAGATCTGCAGAGCAAGTCCCAAATAGTGTGTGGTGGTCTGTGTGCAGCCTCCTGCTCACTGAGCACAAGGACTCAGGCTCTGCTTTCCCATCTCCCCTGCTCACAGTGGGTTAGTTCATCATCCTTGGCTGATGAGCAAGGATTACACTTGTGCATCGTCCATGGCCATTCCATTTCTAGCCTGTATTATATTATTAGTATTAATAATAATAATGATGGGTGCTGGCTGTGCTAGTTTTCTAGCTCCTGAGGAGATGAGAGAGCTCTCCATTAATTCCTGCAATATTTCAGCTCCTAATTGTGCTCAAGCAGAGACAGCCTTGAAAGTTCCCACCATCAGTTCAGGCAGAGAAGGATTGGTACCTCTGGCACAGCTCCTGGAGCTGCAGGGCTCTGGTCAAGCCTTGCCCTGAGCTTTCCCTAGCTCCAGGTGCTTCCAGGATGTGGTCCCACAGAGTGAAGCAGCTTTACAGATCTGGTTTTCCTTCAAAGACACTTGTATAGGAGAGGATGGGGGAATGTTGTCTTAGTCACCTGGTGTCACCAGGGGGCAGGGACTCTTTATGTCTCCTAAATATTTGAGATGCTGTAGCTGTCACCAAGGGGGCATCCCTGGGCCAGAGCCTCTTGCAGGGATGGTATCCCTAATGCTGTTGTCATCTGAGCATGACTCATATCACATTGTGCACAGGACAGAAACAGGAATCATCTCCAGCTCAGAGCATCCTGTCTCAGTCCGGGGCAGGCTCTGTTTGGCTGTAGCCAAATTCCCAGGATGTCAGACCCTGAATCCCTGAACTTCGAGCTCTGCCTCTCCATCAGCTGATTACTGTGCACATATCTCAGACTTCAGTGCAACGCAGGCACAGGGGAAACCTTCATCCCCCAATTTCCTGAGCTTTTGCAGGTGGAAATCTGACCCTCGCAATTACTTTAATGAAGTCTTTTGCTGGAGAACAAAATGCACTCGAGCTGCTTTGCTCCCTGATCAAACCAGGCACACAAATTATGGCTTGACTATGGCAAGAGCTAATTCTTGCCGTGTGTGAGCCGACTCTGCAACTTGGGAAAGGGCCTTTGGTGAGTTGGGAAGCAGTGTTATCTGAGCCTTTGCACAACCCAGAGTCAGATTTGTGCACGGAGCCTCTGAAGGCCACCGGCTGTGTCCTTACTTTATCAGCAGGCAGCGCTGTGCTACAGAGAAGCTGATTCTAGGTCAGCCACAAAAAGGAATTTTTTTTCCCCCTCTCTCCTTTTTTTTTTTTTGCAGTGCTGCAGGGCTGCTGGATGTAAAGATGTAATTTTTGTGTCTCTAAAGGATATTGATTTTGGGGTAACGCCTTCATATCTCACCCTTCAGTTGCACTAAGTACTGATGAGCTCAGCGGTTTGCACCACCAGCCACTCGGGTGGGAATTTCAGCACAGGGCTGAGGACAGTGGTGCATGTCAGCAATTCATCAACAGGAAAACTCACTTCACTCCTTTGCAAAGCCCACAGGGCTGCCTTCCCAGTTAGATCAGCCTGGAAAGGTGGGATGTATGTATGCATGCCTGGCGTCCTGAGTTCGGGGAGCAGTGGACATGCAGAGTACCAGGGATGCTGTGTGGAGATGGCAGCTGTGAGTGCTGGTGCAGGGAGAGAGAGCCAAGGTGGGATTTCATCACGGCTGAGCATATTTGCACTAGTTTGAGTTGACAATAGTGGCACCTGGGACTGCAGCAGCAGGACCCTGGCAGATTCCTGGGGTGCTCTTGAGCTGTCCCAGGGCGTCACAGGAACACCATCGGTGCTGGTCAGCTCTTTCCATGGTGGGTGCTGGAGTCTGACCACACTACCCCTGCAGCATGGCAAAAGATGCCATAAAAGCATCAGCCAGTGGGAAGCAGCGGCGTGTGCCCTGCTGGGAGCCTCCAAGGTGGATGTTGCATGCATTTGTTAGGAGCAGGATGCACACGGTTGACCGGCCAAGCGCGGCGAGTTGTGGCCCATCAGGTCACGGCAGCACAGACAGCGGTGTCTGGGTGGGAAGCCAGGGCTGGCCGAGCTCACAGCATCCCCCTGGGGACCAGGGACCTGTGCTTGGCCTCTCTGCCATTGGCACTCACTCCCAGAAACAGCTGTCCAGAGCTAATTTATTTCCTAATGCTGCAGCAATGTTAATTTATAAATTACACTGGTAATTCGAGCTATTATTAATTTCAGATGGTGTAGGGCAAGCCTAATTAAAATATGACACCAATTGCCACACATATGTACCAAGGACTACCGTTTAAAATTTATAGGAATATTAAGTGTGACACAGGGCTTGGAGATGTTCCGTGCAGTAATTACAGCATCCTGGCTGCAGGAGATCCAGTGGGGAGATGTAAACAACAGGAAAGGGAGAAATTGTCCCTGTTTTGGGACTGCAAAAAGTAATTTTTGCTGCTTGTTTGGGGAGGAACCTGGGGAATCTCGTGCCCCAACCTGCTCCTGGCCAGACAAGCATTGGATGTTTTTCCAGAAATGTGTCAAAATAAAGAGAGCTCCTGCAAGGAATGGGGGCTGAAAGATGCCAGAGTGAAGAAAATTCCACTTATTGCATCTTTCTGGCTTTGAGTGAAACAAGAAGCTGCACAGCAGCCTGGATGGAGAAGAGGGTGACAAGTGCAGCCCCCCCCCCCAAGAAATGAGCCTGGGGTGGCACAGGGTTGAGGTGTTCCAGCTAAAGGGAGGTGTTGGCACCACCACTAATGGGAATAGACTTGCTGTGAATTAATTGAAGCTGAAAAATTAGAGAAGGGTGTTTATGTGAGCTGAGTTAGCCTGGAGGAATCTCCCAGCAGAGGGGATGTGCAGAGGTGAGCTCAGGTCATTTTGCAGGGTGCAGGCTTGCCCACTTTGCCCAACCTGAGCACATCAAGGACATTATCTCCAGCAAGTGATGCTCTCAGCGAGGCCAGAGCTGCTGGAGCAGCCCAGTGTTTGCAGAAACCTTTCTGGCAATGATGGAACGGAGGGGCACAGGCACAGGGACATTCCGGGCTGGGCCCTGCAGGCTGGGTGTCCTAGTGCAGAGTGACACGCTCACAGAGGGTGAGCAGCCAGTGGGCACAGGTTTGTTGTGCCACCCCATCACTCAGGGCTCTCTGTCTCTGCCTCTGCAGCCGTGGGCTTCATCAGCGAGGATGAGTACCTGGAGATCACGGGAATCACGCGGGAGCAGTCGGGAGAGTACGAGTGCAGCGCCTCCAACGATGTCTCAGCGCCCGTCGTCCAGCGAGTCAAAGTCACCGTCAACTGTGAGTCCCTGGGGCCCTCGGGGGACAGGGTGGGGCTGCAGAGGTCACCATGCTGCCCCACAAGGGAATGGCACTTCCCCTCAAGGAAGTGAGGCACACAAAGGCCCCAGAGCGAGACAGGCGGCAGCAGTTTTTCTGAGCAGGTGGTGTTTTGCCCTATTTTCCCCTTCTTTTCAAGCTCCATTTTTTCCCACCACCTCCTCCTCAGCTGTCTCCATCAACCTGAGTTTTCTGCCCATGGAGAGATGCTGTGCTGATAACCTCTGAGGAGAGGAGAGAAGTGAGCAGTAAATAGAATTTTTTTTTTCTGTTAGAAAAAATGAGAGAGAGGAAGAAAGCAGCATATTTCATGTTTAGATGTACACAAAGACTCTCCTAAGCCCCTCTCTGGTCACTCCATTAGCTGAACATGTAACAACCATGAGTTGAGGGTCTGTTGTTTTTGGAAGAGAACTCCCATGAACCTGAAAACCTCGGTACAGCAGCACCAGAGTGGCAGGAGCTGAGAATGGGCTCAGAGATTATTTTGGCTCCTGCTCATGTGCAGGGAGAGAAAGGAAATCTTCAAGAGCAAGGGGCAGGGATGGAGCCGTAGTTGTTTGCTTTGTTATACATAGTAGTAAAGAACTGCTATTCCTATTCCCATATCTTTGCCTGAGAGCCCCTTGATTTCACGATTCTAATAATTCAGAGGGAGGGAGGGAGGGGGTTTACAAGGGAGGGAAAAAGAAAAAGCCTCCTCCTTTCCAAGGGAGGCTTTTTCCACCTTCCCTAGCAGACATCTATCTTGTAAACCAAGACAGATAGGAGTCCCAAAGGCTGCTGGGTGTTGACCCCAGGTTCCCCCTCTCCCCGCAGACCCTCCGTACATCTCGGATGCCAAGAGCACAGGGGTGCCGGTGGGGCAGAAGGGCATCCTGCTGTGTGAGGCCTCCGCCGTCCCCTCTGCCGACTTCCAGTGGTACAAAGATGACAAGCGGTAAGAGTTTTTATTTAACTCATCGAATCTGTGGAAAGGGATTTTCCCAGGAACCTCTTGCAGCCCCCACTGGGGGAGGATTGCTGCTGCCCGTGCCTCTGTGTGAAGGTGTTGTGGTAAATCCCTGCTTGGGTGAAGCATAATGTCCAAAATGGATATTGGCAGCACAAATCCACGCACTTAAGAGTGGATGAAATCTCTGTCATCTCTTTAAATGCTTTGGCCAGAAGGCAGCTCTTGGAAAAGCAAAAGGAATGGGGTGTCAGTCAAGAAACAGGGTTTGCTATACCTCAGAGAGAGCCTGCCTTGCTTTGGGGTGAAAATGGACCTTTTAGACCAACCTGCAACTTCTGTGTCCTGCCAAAGCACAGGGACATGGTTGGGGAATGAGGAGTGGTGCAGCACAGCCTAGGGTAGATCCCACTCTGGAGAAATTGCCTCTCTCTGACCCCGGCAAAGTGGTTTTAACCAATTTTTGTGTTGATTAGCCCAGAGGGGCCGTGGTGTGGCCAAGGACACAGGACAAGCCACACTGGTCACTGATAAGGAGGGATGTTTTGACCAAAAAAAGATGCTCCAGAAGCTGGAGGGAAGTCTGGGTCTGCCTGCCTCACCCGGTTGGAGAGGAAAGGAGCAGCAGAGTGTACAAAGCTGCGGATGTTTGTGTGGCAGATGAAAGGCTCTGCTCAGAACTAGGTCAGATCACGAGGGCCTGCAGAGCAGCGGCAGGAGCGGGCTCAGCCCGCCTGATCAGCACCCAGCGTGGCTCAGAATGGGAATCCAGCACTTCCCCTGAGGAATTAGCAGGCAAGAGCTGCAGGAGCTAAGCAGGATGGGGACACCAGCTCAGGGAAGCCCAAGCACTTGGTTAATGCTCCAGCATTTGTGCTGGCTGAGAACCCTCCCTGCTGTGGTGGGTGCCTGTTGCAGCACTCACTGGGGACACACAAGGATGAGAGAAGAGGAAGGTCACAGAAGGCATTCTGCAGAATAGAAAGGACTGAGGGCATGAGAGGGAAACCAGGCTCTTCTGTAGGGTGGGAATGAGCCTTTCCCAGGCACAGGAGCATCTCTCTCTCTGCACAGCATTTGGTGAGTCCCAGCACCATCCCATGACCCTGCAGCAGTGAGGATGCCTCTGGTCAGCATGGGGGTGGTATGGGCTGGCAGCTGGAGACCCAGCAGAGCAGCATCCATCTCCCTTATCTTTCCCAATACCTTTCCCTCTCTCTCGTCTCCCAAGACCCATCTCCCCACTCACAGGCACAACCAGAGGATAACTGGGCATGGAAAATAGTGAGCACATCCCTTCCTGATGCCACCCCCGTGACCTCCCATTCCTCTTTTCTCCCAGACTGGCTGAAGGACAGAAAGGGCTGAAAGTGGAGAACAAAGCCTTCTTCTCCAGACTGACCTTCTTCAACGTCTCTGAGCAGGACTATGGCAACTACACCTGCGTAGCCTCCAACCAGCTAGGGAACACCAACGCCAGCATGATCCTCTATGGTGAGTAGAGCTGAGGGAATCAGCCAGGAAGGGGGAATGGCTTCACAGTGACATCACCAATGGCAGAGACATGGGAAGGGTCTCCCGTGTCTTTTGGGGGAGATTTATATTTGCTGCTGGTCCTTTCTGCCCTTGGCACGTGGGCTGGAGGTTGTGGTGAGTGCTTGGGAAGGGGTGAACCTCCAAAGCTGCCTCCTGATCCAGGTCCAGTGTCTCCCACCATTCAGAGGTGTTTGGCACTGTGTTTGGGAGCTGCCACGAATGCAAAGTTAGGAGCTGGCTGCAGGTTTCCATCTTCTTGCTCTGATGAGTGCCTGGGAGAGCCTCTGTGTGAAGGCATCTCCCTGTGTCAATGGGTGGGAGGAGAGATGATGCTCAGTCATTGCTGCCCCATTCCCATGTGAGAACAAACAGGCTCGCTGCTCCATCACCTTCCAGGCCATGCTTTCTGCTCCTGACAAGCAGATACATCCTTATTGGAGGTGCCAAGGGAGATGGGAAGGTGTGGAGGGCAGGAAGGAGGAGAAAGTTTGTACCTCTGTCCCAGGACTGTTTTCCCTGCATGCTGGAGCTGGGATGAGAGCAATGCTGACACTGCCCATGGATGGGAAGGGCTGTGATTGAGTAACATATTTGTCAAACCTCTTCAGGTGGCAGCAAAACCAGAGCAGAGGCTGTGCCCTCCAGGAGTCAGGAATGGATGACAGATCTCATCCCTGGCCACTGCTTGGGGACATTTCCCTGCTGGGGTATGGGGTGTGTGGTTCTTGCAGCTGAACCACACAGGACAAGTGCAGACTGGGGACCTCCAAACTCTCCCCAACATTGTCCTCCTCTTTGCCACCCGGTTGTTGTGCCTGCCTTGTCTCTTGTTATTGTACGGTCAGAGGGAGCAGAGCAGAGTGACAAATTAACCTTCCTTGTCCCCAGGTCCCTCAGGGATGGATCAGGGCAGTCTGTACCCTGGCCATACAAAGTGTCTTGGGATAGGGAGCAGTCCCACAGTATGTTCTGGGTTCTGGAGTGTGCCAGGGCAGTGGGAGGCATCTGGAGACCCTGGGAAGTGCTGTCCATGTCCTGGGGAGGAGCTGGATGGATTCCAAGGGAGCAGTTTGTTTAGGGACGGCAGGGGATGTCGGGCTTTGCCAGGGGCCACACCACAGCTGTGGTGTCAGGGTGACATCACAGGACAGGCTTATCCTCCCCTGCCACTGGTACTGGCAGCTGTGCCAGGTTCCCCTGAGCTGTGACAGAGGAGTTCATCCCATCTTGGATGCTCAGACCAATTTGCTCCCCCAGTAAAGTCCAAGCTGTGTGTGATGAAGGTTCACCTGTGCTAAGCCATCATTGCCATTGCTTAGGAACTACCTCAGTTCTCTTCCACCCCAGCCTTCCTGGCAATCCAATAACCAACCCCATGTTTTAGGGATGCCAACACCTCTGGTACTGCAAAGCCACCCAGGCCTGGCTCCACCAGTTTTGCAGACGTAGGGTGGCCGTGCCAAATGCTCAACATAGCCTGAGCCACATTCTTAGCTGTGATGTTGCAGCCTTCCAATGTGTTTATGAGGTTAAAATCTTGATTAGTGGGAGCCTTCAGTTTGGCATCTGCAGATCCAGGCTGGATGAACAGCCTAAAAGTAAAGATGGCATCTCCCTGCTGAAGAGCTCTTGGTTCCTTGGGTTCTAACTCATCTGTGGGACTCATGCTGTGATGGCAGTGTCAGGTGGGAGGCTGGGAAGCATCCCACAAAAGTCTAAGCTTATTTTATGATCTCCCCTTAGCTTTGTGGTCTGGCTGTGAATCCCATCACGAAAATCAGAGTCCTTTGACCACCCATAATTTCCATAAAGGCTCAATTGGTTGAATGATCCATTCAGTCTTTAAATTAGTCCCCCTGGGGGGGCTGGCAGTTCCCTGAGGAGACCGTGACATGCTGGGGTTCCCCATCTCCTGGTGCAGGGCTCCCCAGCACCCCAGGAACAATCTCTCCCTAATTACCAGGAATGTGATGGCCCCAAGCATCATAGGGCCAAGCTCACCCGTCCCTAAACCAGTGTCTTCAATCTGGGGATTAATGTGTCTTATTTATCGACATATTTATTTATTTATTTAATGCAAGATAAGAGGGAAGTGGATGCGGTGGCTGCACTACCTGTGCATGAGAAATGTCTCTTCTGTGAGGTTTTGGGGGACAATTTTGTGAGTGGCCCTTTTTCCCTGAAGCTGAGTGTTTTGGAGTTTTTCCCCCACAAAGGGAGGTTTCATCTGTGCAGGTAGCGTGACATGAGCCTTTTTGGGGTTGTGAGAGAGGCTAATGTAGCGTTCATCTTTTAATCCTTTTTTTAATCTAATTTTTGATGGAGGTCAACTAGTGCTTTATTTAACATGTAGCACTCGTTATTCCAGACCTGCCGTCTCATTCAGCGGCTCATTTGGTGCTGTCTGGGATGTGATAGAGTGCTCAGGGAAACCACATCATTCTGTGGAGTTGGGGAAAAAAACCAACCCTCTGCTTCTCGCCCATCACACAGTCTGTGTTGCTCCCAGAGGCAGCTGTCAGGCCATAAATCTTTTTGGGATGTTGCAGGATTAGCAAGAGGGATGGGCCCTGCACTCACAGGGGAGAGCTGAACGCCCTGCATCCCCATATCCCAGCCCCTGTGCTTTGCCTTTTGCACAGGGTGCAAATACAGGCTCTGCCAGCTCTGAGGTCCCATATTCATCTCATCTCAGAGATGAGGGGACCATGGCCCCAGAGCAGTGGGGTGTGATTTGGGCAATCAGATCCCATTTCTACCCCATCCACTGGTTTTCCCACCCCAGGTCGAGGGCAGGCTGAGGGAGGTGTCTCGAGCCTGCGCTTTCCATTGCCCTTTTGCCTTAACTTTCCCTTGTTCTTTAATTTTTAGAAGAGACAACTACTGCTCTGACACCCTGGAAAGGTCAGTAATTTGGGGGTTCCCTACAATGCCAGTGCTTCCCCTGCTGTTCCCCTTGGGCCCCTCTGGCTCCCACCACAACTCATCTCAGTGGGAGCCGCAGCACCCACCAGTTGGATCTCCTGCCCCACAGCCCCACTGCTTTCACTGGTGTAGGGATGAATCAGGGCTTTCTTAGCCACCCTCCCATCCTGCCCCTCCCTGCCAGCCTACTGTGCCTGTCTGGTGGTGGTCTGTGCCCTCTGCATGCCTGTCCCCATCCCATGGTGTCCCGCTCCCTCCCCATTGCCAGGGCACAGCAGGGCTGTCTTTGGGCTGTTTTCCCAGTGCTACTGTGTTAGTGGGCCTTGTGGCAGGTCCTTCCTCCTCTGGGATGCTTCTAGTGCCGTTTTTATGGGATGAGAGAGGGGTGGACAGGCATTTGGTCCCCCTTCTGTTGTTATTCCTGGCCAGGGCAGCCAGCTCTCTGCTGTGCAGTCTTACTGTCTGGTCAACTGGCTTGGTGTCATTTTGATTTTGGGGCGGCTTCATTTGTGATGAATGGAGTGGTCAGTGCTTGGGATGACTTGCAGATGTCTGTGGAGGCAGTGTGTGAGACCTGGATTTGTGAGGTGGGAGGTGTCTGAGTGTGCTGGAGAGTGTTACTGGTGGGAAACCAGATGGTTTCTGATGCTCAGTGCCCCGGTCAGGTTTTGAAGTGAGGGCACATGTCCTGGGGTTTCGAAAGCAGTTGTGAATCAGACCTTGTGGTCAGCCCTGCTTCCACAGGACACAAGCAAGGATGCTTTCCTGAGGTCTTTTTCCACCTTAGTTGTCTCTTGGGCCAACTATTTTGTGAAAAAATGGGTGTTTTGGTGAAAGCCATTGTCTAAGACACCCTCCACATCCTTTCCCACAGTGAGCTTTGAACTCCTCAGTTCTTGTAGTCCCCATAGATGGGTGGGCTTGGCTCTTCTTGACCCTCCTCATCCCATCTCCTTGAGGTGGTGTGGGCCCATACTGAGCCCCAAAGAGACATTGAAGAGGTGCAAAACACCAAGTCCTCAATGTAGTGCTGCTGGCAGTGTCTCTGCAGGGTGGGCAGGTGGTTACTGTCCCTCCCAAGGGACACTGGAGGGCAACAGGGTGGTGACCCTGGGGTGGGCAGAATGTGCTGGGTAATAACTGTCATCTCCCCTACAAGTGTGGCTGGAAATCTGGGACCAGTTTGGAGGAGGGTGAAGGGGGCTGAGGGAGGTTGGATGGTGGTGATGCACAGGAAGTGGGCTTGGGATGGGGACTTCAGGCTGAAAAGGCACCAGTTTGGAGGAGGGTGAGGGGGGCTGGTGGTGATGCACAAGAAGTGGGCTTGGGATGGGGACTTCAGGCTGAAAAGGGACTGCAGAGGATCTTGTCCCAAAAATCAGCATTTGTGAGGACAGGGAGGGCCGTTCCCATGTTCCTGAGACAGCACAGATGGAGGGGGACACCCAGAGACCTCTCAGAGCAATCCCATCACGTGCAACACCGCCGGGGGCCCCAAATAGCGTGATTTTTTTTTTTTGTTTTAATCTTTATTTCATGGTTTCTGCTATTTGTTGACTTCATGACCAACCACACGGGCGTTCCTGTCCCTTCCCACAGGCCCTGGAGCAGTGCACGACGGGAACAACGGCGCGTGGCGGCGAAGCAGCTGCGCGTGGCTGCTGCTCCTCCCGCTCGCCCACCTCGCCCGCCAGTTTTGACCCGAGAGCCGGCCCGCGGAGTAGCGGCAGCGACGACCACGGCCAGCGAGCGCAAGCAGAAAGGAGAGGAAGAAAAGAAGAAGAAAAAGAAGAAGTGTTCACCGTTTCCGAAAATAATCATAAGAATTGAGAGAGTATCCGGCCAGGCCACCTGGGGGAGGGGGAGAGAGGAAAAACACGCAAAAAAAAAAAAAAAAAAAAAAAAAACCACAACGGGAATTTGGAATGGAGAGAAAAGGGAAAAAATTAATAATCCAAGGCTTCCTGCTGAAGATGCAATGCGACTGAGTCTTTTTCTTTTCACCCTATTTTTTTTTTTTGTCCCCTACCACTTTTTCCCCCTGTTTTTGTTGTTCTCTGCCACGGGCCAGCGTGGAGGATGGACGGGGCCATCAGAGTGTGGCACTTGTCCCCTGCCCTGTCCTCTTCACTGCCGCCACCCGCCTGCTCCCTCCCGTGGGACCCTCCATCCAGACACACGGGTTTTCTCCTTTGCCAAGATTTCCCCGTCTTCTCATGGACTGTGCCGCCATTTGTGTTTCAGAATATATATACATATATATATATATATATCTCCATGTATACATATATATATGTATAGATATATAGATCTTCAACAGTTACCACACCACCATGAAAGGAAAGGGAGGAAGGAGACCGGCGTCGAGCCACGCTTTCATCGTACCATCCGCGGACATCGTGAATGATAAGGGATTCTGAGTCATGGTTAATTTTATTAATTGTATTTTCTGATACGAGCCTAGAACTCTTAGTTCCTAAAAAACAGAAATGCAAAAAAAAGAGGGAGAAAAAAAAGAAAAAAAAAGATGAAAAAAAAACAATCCAGGAGAGGGGGAGCAAGCGGAGAGAAGTTTGTTTGCCGAGGAGGCGACCAGCCAAGGAGGTTTGTGAGCCCGGCGAGGAGGATGAGGAGGAGGTCTGTGCTGAAACACCCCCAAAACCGGCCCAAAAGCGGTCGTCTGGACAGTTCCTGCCGAGGGCACAGACGACACTCGCCGCGCGTTGAGGTGGAGGGAGATACTGAATCTTTTTATGGGATATATATATACAGTATATATAAATATACATATATATATATATATAATTTTCTTTTTTGTTAGAGTTCTAGCCACAGTTCCCAGCAGGGTCCTTCCGCTGCCATTACTGCATGCTGTATATGGAGTTAGGTGTGTATCGGTTCTCAACGAGACAAGTGTCTCGGTCACACATCCCTGAACCCCCTCGCCTTTCCACCCTCGGGTCACCGGGGACAAAAGGTCGCAGGGGACCAGGGCCCCTCTCTGTCGCTTTTTGCCGCGTGGCCCCGGCCTTTTCGCGGTGGAATAAAGCGAGCTGAGGGACAGAGGGAGATCTATATAGCTCAGTTTTATATATTTTTATATATATATATATATATATGTGTATGTATATGTGTGTGTGTGCGCGTGCGTGTGTGTGTATATGTATATATATATATATATAAAAAAAAAAACAAACACAAAAGAAATGAGAAAAAGAAGACGAAGCAACCGGCCCCTGCCAAGGCGCAGGACCTGTTGCCTCGCCGTCCATTTCAGCGGGGGTTTCTCCTGCAATTGGTTTTCCTCCTTCAATTTCCTTTCCTTCCCTGCGGCCGGCGGCGGGGGGCACGCGGGGGGCCCGGGCGCGGGCAGGCAGGCGGCGAGGGGGCTCTCTCTGCCTATCCATTAAAACGATTGTTCCATGTGGCCGCTCCGTCTGCTTGTGGTGCTCATTGCCGCGGGGGCCAGGGCCACTCCGCGTTCTCCCCTTGCGCCACCAGAAATGGGGAGGGATGTGGGGAGGGGTGCTGGAGGTGGGGGTGGCAGACGGGAGCACCAAGTCATCACAATGGGCCAGGAGAGCATTGGAAAGATGGCCCCTGGACCTCACTGATGGGCCCAGCAGGAATGCTGCCACAGGTAAGGCTTGGGTGAGTAGATGGAGACAGTGTCAGGCACAGCTGACACTGCCCAATTTCCCTGCTCAGGACCACACTCAGTGCCCCTAAGCTCAGGTGTGGCTCTCTAGCCCAGCTGCAAAGCATTGCTGGGGATGCTTGTGGAGCAGCTGAAGTGAATCCTGCGTGGGAAGGAGGGACAGAGTGATGTGAGGTGAATACAGGGAACAGGATCCCCCATGCAGTGCTCCATACAGGCAAAGCACAGCAGGATTGTTTGTGTGTAGGTGCATTTTGCTGTCCATGGAGCCTTGTCTTGGTCAGTGTCTTGGCTTTTGGTGATGCTGGAAGGTTGCTTAGTGAGTTTGGTCCTCATCCTCAACTGTAGCCTCCAGGGTGCCGGTTTCTTCAGGTCACCTGACACATTTGCAGGATCAGAAGTTGGTTGCTGTTGATGCTGTGATAGTTTTGTGTGAGCTTTTTTTATTTCTTGACCCTATGATGTAACCCAAGAGATGAGCATGGAGAAGAAGGATGGGAAGATGTTGCTTTGAGGTGTGACAGGCAGTGTCCAGGTGATACTGACATGGGGTAAGGGAAGAACCATGCTCAGGTTTTGTGGCATATCCCAAGTAAGGGACAGGGTACTGAGGGTGTGGGGACAGGACAGCTGGGCACAGGTAGCAGGGTCAGGATGGCAGAGATGATGGTGCTGGGTCTTTATGCAGCTCCTGCAACTCCCAGGTTGGACCAGCCAGCCACAATAGAGCAAACCTGGTAGGAGGTAGGAGGGGCAATGCCCAGATGCTTGGGGGTAATGGGGAAGGATCCAGGGATAGGTATGGAGGTAGCAGGGCTCTCTCCCTCACCTCCTCTCTGTAATTGTAACTTTTTTGGTGTTCTAGGTGAGAGATCAAGGAATGTCCAGTGCCAAAGTATCAGACAAAGAGGAAGTTAAAGAGAGAGAGAGGCGGCTCGATGGATGCATTTATGTAATAATTTATTGACATAGGTAAGGGTGTCTCTTGGTGCTGGGAAGGGATGGAGGTCATGGTCTGAAAATGCCTTCCCTCCCCCTGGATGTAGCAGCTGAGGTCCATGTCCTTAGGCACAGGTTGGGTATTGCTGAGGGCCATGGAGAAACATCCCTCTCAAGCCAGGAAAGGGAGATGGAGGATGGGCACAGAGGGGCTGCATCGCCTCCCGTGCTCTGTGCTGGGGACAATGCAGACGAGGCATCAGGATGTGCCATGAGCAGGAGCGTGTGGGCATCTGTTGGTATTCACTCCAGTGGAGGCAGGTCCAGCACTGGGTATCAGGCAGAACTGGCATGGGAAGATGGGAAGCATTAGCGAAGCTTGGATTGTGGCGTGATCCCCAGATGACACATGCAAGGGGTGAGCGTTGCTTTGTGGCACCTGTAGTTACATCAAATCAGCCCTGGCTCCCTGACAGGGTGGGGTTTTTGGAAGAGGCTCAAAGCAGAGTCTCCCATGGAGGTCACCAGTGCTTGGTTCACTGCAGGTGACATTGAGGAAAGTGGGCAAGGTGACACATCCCTCCCAGATCCCTTCCCTCAGGAGGTTGTTGAGTTTTGGGAAGCACTTACCTGTCTGCTGGGGTCACTCAAGGGGGACAGCAGTGTTCCTGATGTGCAAGGTCACAGCAGCTCACAGCAGTGCTGGGATGGAGCTGTTTGCTTGTTGTGGTGTTCAGGGAAAAACTCTTGGGACTGGACTTTCATTCCCACGTTGGGGAAGATGAAGGGAGGTCTCAAAGTGAGCAAGACTCTGATGGTCTGTCACAGTCCCACTACCCCCAGTCTCCTGGCAGCAGGTCTCAGACTAGAAGAGCTTGTTGAATGTTTTCTCCTGGTTGATGGTGTGGAAAGGTGAGGCATCCCCTGGGAGCAATGGGTACAGCCTGCTGTGAGATTACAGCCCTGTCAGGGAGATGCTGAGGGTCACGAGTCTTCTGCTCCTGGTCCTCAAGGTTTTTGTCCTTTGACAAAGATGTTTGGTCTGTGTCACACGCTGCCAGATCACGAGAGGAGCAAACCTTGGGAGTGCATTGTCTGCACAGGCATCCCTTGATGGGGGCAGGTTTAGTTGTCAGAGTGAGCGTTGTTGCAAGATGATGGAGGTGATGCTGGAAATGTCTCAGTTGTGGAAAAGAGGCCCCCAGTCACGCTGCTTCCATGGAACGTGGGTGAGTGATGAGAACTCAGACAGTCCTTACCCTTCATGGCCTCCATCAACAGGCGTGTGCTCATCACTCATCAGCAGACAGAGGTGGGCAGGAGCCGAGACTCACTGGTGGATTCCCAGGGGAGATGCATGGATGGGGTGAAGGGTGGCCCAAACAGCAGCAGGCCCCCAGCTGTGGGGCTTCAAGCATCACTGTCACAGGGGACGATCAAAAGAGGGTCCAGCCAAGTGCTGGGTGGGACCCCAGCAGTGGCAGAGGTCCCAGGACTCAGGAGCCCTCCCAGCTCAGCTCAGCAGGTGCCCAGCACTGCATCCCTTCCCTGGGGTGCACGGGACCCGTGAAGCAAAGCCCCGAAGGTACAAAGTTCGTCAAACTTTATTGATACACTGCACAATCACAACCATCTCTTATTCTTGCCGAATTAGAAAAGGTTACAACTACAATGTAACATGCACAAATCTCAGGTAGTATAGCCACCCTTGGAATACAATGATCGACAGAAACTCAAGACCGGCCATCATGGCCGTCAGCAGGAGAGACCCAAGAGCCACACTGCCCCCGCCCTGGGCACCCAGCCACCCCCTGGGCATCCAAACACGGAGAGCAGTGGTCACAAATGGGTCTGGCACCCGGCAGAGCCGCGGCGGGGCCGGCCTCAGACAGCCAACACGTTCCTCACAATGGCACGTTACATGGCACGAGAAAGTCGAATGCCGTCCCGGCAGGGTACAGGGGAGCCCACCCGACCCAGGGACAAGGATGGGATGGGGGGCAGCCCTGGCACCAGGCCCGCCAGCCTCAGTGTGCGTCGTGGCATCTCGTCACCGCCACTCTCCGATTCGCCGTGGCCTCTTGCCCTGTGACTCTGCAGCATTTCTGCTGTGGGGACAGAGAAATTTGGGGCTGACCAAGGAAAGGGCACGGGGTGGCAGCGGGGGGCGGTTGTGGGGCAGTGCGGACCAGTAAAGGCATCCGGGCAAGGTGTCTCCCGCACCCACGGTAGTTTGGAGCGGGCATGTGGGGAAGGATGTGCGTGGTGCCATGCTGGCTGAAGACAGTGCCATCCCCACGTGATAAACATGCCCCAGGCTGGGGGACAGGACCCAGATCTCTGACAGTGCCACCTTTCTTGGATGCCAGCGGAGAAGCAGAGCAGCACCACAGGGACCGCAGGACGCGGACTCACCCAGTCAACACCAGATCCCTGTCCACCAGGTAAGCCAGAGCCTCAGGCCAGCACTGGAGCAGCTCCTGCCCTGTTTTTTGTCAATCAGCCATGGTACATGTCGAACATCCAGGATGGGCGGGCAGGAGCATCCACTGAGATTTTGTAGCAGGTCCTGGGCAGCCCATTGGGAACAGGGATGAGGACAGGCATGGCTGCATAGAGGACACGGTGGTGGCCCATCATGGCCTCTGGCTCAGGGTGGTTTTTCCATCTTATGTGCTGAGGGCTGGCACCCCAGCTTCCTTGTAGCCACAGAAAGCAGGTTTGGGCAGCAGCAGAGTTTGCAGGGGGAAGACAGCGTGTGCGTGGCCGTTGTTTTAAGTCATCTCACTTATGGAGGGAGAAGGAAGGGACAAGGCACGGGGAGGTGCTGGGTCAGGACAGGGGACACTCTGTGTGCTTGCTCAGTGCCTTGCTGTGGTCGAGTCTCCCTGTTGCAGCAATAGGGTTCGGTGCCAGGCGTGACTTTTCAGGAGCAGGATGGGAGTGTCCATCCCCAGACTGTGGCACCAAAGCATTCCCGGGTGGCCATGGAGTGACAAGAAGGCTCAGGGCTGCCACAATGTACCAGGCAAGGGGTTCCATGGTGCACGAGGCTATCAGGAGCACAATTCCATATGTGGGGAGATGACATGGCCACCGCCACCACGGGTGGCAGCTCCCAGGGTGGCTAGAAGAAGCAGAGAGGGCAGAGTCTGGGTGTGTCTATTTTGGTGTCACAGGCAAGTTGCAGCAGGGAGCATTGGAGCCATCCTTGTCCCTGCTGTGCCAGCACAGCAAATTGACAGAGCCCAGGCCTCCTCCACGGGGTCAGACACATCAGACTTTCCTCAGCAGGGACACGTGATGGGCATGAGACAAGGCAGAGTGAGGACATTGCAGCTCATGGCCCCATGAGGGACACAGATACAGAGGGTCATGGACGTCAGAGCTGTAGCAAAAGGGCCTTGTCCGCTGGTGTTTCGATCCATTGTTCAGAGCCTCTGCCCCACGCTGGTGATGCTGTGCTTTTGATGTGCAGGTTGGAAAGTGCTTGGACAACAAGC